GATTCAAGGATACTTGCGGGAAAATATAATACACCACGGGCCGATCCGGACGGAGAGAAAGAGAGAAGGAGGGGAAAGAAGTTTGTTACGTGAGTGCGCGAAGAGGGAGCAGGGAAAAAGGGGGGAAAACTGGGAGGAGGAATGTAGATTCCATCCACCGCGCCCAGGTCGAGATGGTCGCTCATAAATATTCATACGGGATTCCTGAAGCCAGGAAAACATTCATTCCTGCAGAAGCGCACATGTGTGGTCCCCTTTCCCGCATCCCTCGCGTGCATTCGGCAATCTTGTGACCGGCCAATGGAAAAGTGCCGACCAACGGCGGGGAAAAACTCCGGAATTACGACTTTTCCGCCGAGATCTTTCGCGAGACCCACGCTTTTTTCGGGACGAAAACACAAGCTTCCCGACGCAAATGTTTTTTAACGCGCTTGTAGGCTGTTTTCCGTTATTTCTCTTTCCAGGCATCAAAATACAGTTTTATTAAAAGCGAGAAGAATTGGTGGAAAGGAAATTCACCTGACAGGAGAAAAATATTGTTATTATCGTTATGTCGACATTGCGTGATATAAATTATTTGCGTTTTAGCAGAATAATGTTGACGAATATGAGTGGACGTAATGAATCGCGTTTATTTAACTCGATTAACTTTATGAAATTTTTTGGGGTATTTTTAATAATTCTAATAATTGTGAAGAAAATCGCGTCTGTTTGGTTAATTTTTTTAAATTAATAATTTTAAAAATTACAAAGTTTAATAATTCTGACAATACTAATCTTATATGCAAAAGACTATTTCTTTCAAAAGAAACTTTAAGACCGTTTTAAGACCGCAAACTCTGGAAGATTACGTTACGAAAGAGATATGTGGTTAGTAGAAGCTTGAGAATCGGCGCTTTAACGTGAGAGGCACGTACCGAAAAAAAGTCGGACAGTCGGCGATCGTAATAATTTTACTACGGTGAAATTGCGCGACACGCTGTAGACACCGCGAAGGCGAGGTGAAAGCGAAAACGCGGTAAATCTGACAATGGCCGTCCGACACAGCGCATAGAGTCCCTTTTCCGACAGTTAAAAAACATCCTGTTTACGGAAGCAGTTCGTCCTCGAGAAAGCGCACGAGTTATGCGCGAAAAAAATGTCGCTGAACTTTCATGACTGTGACGGAAAATGAT